CGAACAGAATCTACCACATATTCTTGATAAACACTGTTAAATGATCTGTACCAATAATGGAATAAAGTTCAACTCTTTCTAGTCTATACCTACTGACCAAATTACTGATCATTTGGAATAATCCAAATGATTTGAAAGATATTCTCCAGATAACACACTGACAACATTTCCCCTGACCTGTAATGCTGCTGGAATACTTCTACTAGTTAGTAGAAACAGGAAAATAATTCCATAAATGTCTTCAGGTAATTTCCATGCAGTTGATGGTGATTGGGAAAGAACACAAATCTTCTGTCTGACTCATTGATAACTCTATTGCTCCACATTTTCATTGATTCTTCATGACTACATCAAAACCCCTCCACTGAGGTTTTTTTTTTATTTTAAATTAAGCCTTTAGCTTACTGATAAATACATAGCACTGGATAGGTTCTAGACTTCTATTCAGGAAGAGAGTTAGTGGGGAATGTAACACATATGTATTAAACATATAAGATTTGAAGTAAGCGTGCAGAGTTTGTGTCATAGAATAAAGTAGCATTAGAAATTTGAGGAAGAGGGGAAGTGATGGTGGTGGGGGGATGGGAGAGGCTGTGAGGTGGTGAGGAAAGGGAAACTGTGGTCAGGATGTACTATATGAGAGAAAAATAAAAGGAGCTAAAACCATCCACTGAATAAAAGAGAGTATTTTCAACAAATGGTGGTGGATCAAGTGGAGATCAGCATGTAGAAGAATTCGAATTGATCCATTCTTATCTCCTTGTACAAAGCTCAAGTCCAAGTGGACCAAAGACCTCCACTCAAAACCAGATACACTAAAACTAATAGAAGTGAAAGTGAGGAAGAGCCACAAACACATGGGCACAGGGGAAAAGTTCTTGAACAGAATACCAATGGCTTATATGCTCTGAGATCAAAATTTGACAAATGGTACCTTATAAAATTGCAAAGTTCCTGTAAGGCAAAGGACACTGTCAATAGGACAAATAAGTGTCCAACTGATTGGGAAATGATCATCACCAACCCTACATCTGATAGAGGGTTTACTGATTAGTTTTGTATATATCCAATATATACAAAGAACTCAATAAATTAGACTCCAGAGAACCAAATAACCCTATTAAAAATGGAGTACAATGCTAAACAATGAATTCTCAACTGAGGAATATCAAATGGCCAAGAAGCACCTAGAGAAATGTTTAACATCCTTAGTCATCAGGGAAATGCAAATCAAAATAACCCTGAGATTCCACTTCACACCAGTCAGAATGGCTAAGATCAAAAACTCAGGTGACAGCAGATGATGGTGAGGATTTGGAGAGAGGAACACTCCTTCATTGCTGGTGGGATTGCAAGCTGGTATAACCACTCTGGAAATCAGTTTGGCGGTTCCTCAAAAATTGGACATAAATAGTGATATACCTGAGGGTCGAGCTATACCACTCCTGGGTATATACCCAAAAGATGCTACAACATATAGCAAGAACACATACTCCACTATGTTCATATCAGCCTTATTTATAATAGCCAGAACCTGAAAAGAACCCAGATGTTCTTCAATAGAAGAATGGATACAGAAAACATGGTACATTTACACAGTGGAGTACTACTCAGCTATTAAAAACAATGAATTCATGAAATTCTTAGGCAAGTGAATGGAACTAGAAAATATCATCCTGAGTGAGGTAACCCAATCACAAAACAACACACATGGCGTGTACACACTGATAAGTGGAGAATCTCAAGAAGAAGGAAGATCAAAGTGTGGATTCTTCAGTCCTTCTTAGAAGGGAGAGCAAAATACTCACAGGAGGTAGAGGGTGGGAAGGACTTGCAGGAGAAGAGAGGAGTCGGAGGGGGAAAACAGGGGCAAGATGAATTATGAGAGGAGATAGGAATGATATACAGAGGATCAGGAATTTAAACAGAGGTGTGTAACAATGGGGGATGGAGAACTGGGGATAGCCATCAACAAGTTCCAGATGCCAGGAAGGCAAGCAGCTCCCAGGACCCAACAAGGATGAGATTAGCTGAAATGCCCAACAAAGGGGAGGGAGAACCTGAAGAGATCATATCCAGAGGTTAGGCAAGGAATGGGGTCACCCACTCATCTCCAAATTCTTAACCCAGAAGAGCTCCTGTCTAAAGGAAATATAGGGTCAAAGTGTGGAGCAGAGACTGAAGAAAAGGCCATCCAGAGACTGCCCCACCTGGAAATTCATTCCATATGCAGTCACCAAACCCAGACACTATTGTGGATGCTATTATGTGCTTGCTGACAGGAGCCTGTTATAGCTGTTTCCTGAGAGGCTCTGCTAGAGTCTGACAAATATGCAGGTGGATGCTTGCAACCAATCAATGGGCTTAGCACAGAGTCCCCAATTGAGGAGTTAGAGAAAGGACTGAAGGAAATGAAGGAGTTTGTAACCTCATATGAAGAACAACATCAATCAACCAAACCCCCCAGATCTCCCAGTGACTAAACGACCAACCAAAGGGTACAAATGGAAGGACCCATGGCTCCAGTAGCATATGTAGCAGAGGATGTCATTGTCTGGCATTAATAGGAGAAGAAGCCCTTGGTCCTGTGAAGGCTCAATGCCCCAGTGTAGGAGAATGCCTGGGCTGTGAGGTGGGAGTGAATGGGGGGCGGGTAGGCACATCCTCACAGAAGCAAGGAGATAGGATTGAGGGATTCTGGAGGGGAAACCAGGAAAGGGGAATAACATTTGAAATGTAAATACATAAAATATCAAATAAAAAATGTAAAAAAAAGAGAAAAAGTGTAGACTTTTCCCTCATAAGGAAAATAAAAATGTTTCTGCCAGATGAAAAAAGAAAAAAATGAAAGGAATATAAAATAGTATTTGTCTAAAACAATTTACACACACACACACACACACACACACACACGTTATATACATATATGAGGCAGTCAGAGGAGAATATCTAGTACCTATTCTATCACTCCCTTCCTTGTTTCTTTGAAACAGGGATTTGCTTGTCTCCATCCTCAACAGTGCCATAGCTATAGGTGCCTGGCTTTCTATGTGTGTTCTGGGGTTCAAATGGTATAGCAAGCATTCTTATCTCTCCTGTCATTTTATTAGCTCCAACAATGATGTTTTAATTGAGGAAATAATGTTATTCAATGTTTCAAACATCCCAGTACTTTATTGTTCTTTGTATGAGCTCCAAATGGTGTTGTCATTGGTTGGTGGCTCTATATCTGACTTGAACTCAAGCTTACTTCTATATGTGGTTCCTAAGATTGTAAGGCTTGGCTCCTTAGCTTGTAGAAAACCAAATCGTGGATATTCTCATATGCCTGGGACTGGAAGGAGATAAAATTTTGTCCCATACCCTTTGGTCAGATCAGAATTCAGTCATATAGCCAAACTTAATTATATAGAAAGTTAATAAATTGACATCATACAGGAAAACAACTGACTTATTTCTATACAGAAACCAACACTGAACATCACTGGGTACGTTAAGCTATTGGGTCAAGTTTTATCATATTGCTAAATTCAATATTAGCTTTGTTGACAGTCAATTAAATTTGATTTTTTTCTCCTACCTACTATAGCAACCTACAGTTGCCAGATAAATTTTCCATTGATGTCAAGTAACAATTCAACATGCCTTGTTCGGAGGATATAGTAAACAAAAAAAATACAACAAACAAAAATAAAACATACAAATAAGAAGGAAGTTTGTAGAAAAAGAGTTTCTGTCAGGCACTTTTCAGTTTAGACTCTAGCTCAGTTGATAAAAGTTATGCTAATTATTAAACTGAATTATACTTCTTTCAGCTTCAACTTAATTTGTAAACTGAAGGTAACATCTATATTTCAGGCTGGGGCTAAGAACTAAATGACACAATGCTAATTAAAACACATACCAAAAATTACAGTAAATGTTCCAGTTTTCCTCTCTTAGTTCTCATTAGCCCTTCTCCATCCAATCTTTCAAACTCCCTCTCTTCCTTTTCTCAGAGTCTTCCTTATTTGCTGTCTCATAATGACTGCATTCCCCATTCCCAGTAAATGTGCTAAAGGCTAAACTCTCCCCCTCTGAGATAACAACTGAAGTCCCAACCGATGCTCCAGAATCTCTGCCTTTGAATAATCTAATTAAGAATATGATTAAAATGTTTGTTATGGGGCCCAAACACTTAACCTTACCAGATTTTAGAACTTTCTATAGATAACACATCATAGATACTTCTATGCAAGCTTTGTTCATGCAACTGATAATGAGCTTTTAAGCATCTAAGAGGATGGTCAGAAACTAAAAAGGGCAGTGAGAAAATTTTTAAATGGACATAGTATGAAGACATAATAAAATCCTTAAGCTATTTATTTAGTATTGACTGTGCTTGACTTAAAAGATAGCTACTGACATTTGTTTCAGTTTAGCAAACAATCAAAGCGTTTTTTGTTTTTTTTTTTGTTTTTTTTAAGGAAAGAATGGCTTTCTGAATTCCACTTGCTGTGCCTTTATCTTAAAACAGAACATTTGTCTTAGCATTTTAGGAGGTTTGTAACCATATGTTTTTACATATAGTCTCTTATGTAAAAAGGGTTTCAGTAAAATTTTCTTTGTTAATATCACTTCACGTTAAATCTTTAAGTAAAGCTTTGAGTCTTTATTCAGCAGTACAAAATGCTTTGATACAACCCTGATAAAAAGTGCTGAGTATAATTAGATGTTTAAAAATTTGCATGTGCTGAAAATCATGTTCAAAGACTTTTGTGAAATTTGCACTTTGGAGGAGCTTCTTAAACATATAAAATATAACTCTTGTAGCTCAAGAAGACTATTTTTATAACTGTATTTTATTTTGGAAATAAAACAGATGTTTTATTATCTTCAAGGAAGGAAATGATTTTGCTTAAAATGTTATTTCCTATGGTATATCACTTCATATATAATGTGTTTAAAGCAAGACAAAAATCTTATTAAGACTCCAACGATGCAACACCTCCAACTGGAATCTCTGTGTTCTAGGTCAGATCAGACATTCTGTCACAATGCCTGAAATAAATACCAGCCATCTTGATGAAAAGCAGGTCCAGCTTCTAGCAGAGATGTGTATTCTTATTGATGAAAATGACAATAAAATTGGGGCTGACACTAAGAAAAATTGTCACCTGAATGAAAACATTGACAAAGGATTAATACATCGAGCTTTTAGTGTCTTCTTGTTTAATACTGAAAATAAGCTCCTGCTACAGCAGAGATCAGATGCTAAGATTACCTTTCCAGGTTGTTTCACCAATAGTTGTTGTAGTCATCCATTAAGTAACCCAGGTGAGCTGGAAGAAAACAACGCCATCGGTGTGAAACGAGCGGCACAGAGACGCTTAAAAGCCGAACTGGGAATACCCTTGGAAGAGGTTGATCTAAATGAAATGAATTATCTAACAAGAATTTACTACAAGGCCCAGTCTGATGGTGTCTGGGGTGAACATGAAATTGATTACATTTTGTTTCTGAGGAAGGATGTAACTTTGAATCCGGATCCCAACGAGATCAAAAGCTATTGCTATGTATCAAAGGAAGAGGTCAAAGAAATTTTGAAGAAGGCAGCCAATGATGAAATTAAGTTAACTCCATGGTTTAAGATTATTTCAGATGCGTTCCTCTTTAAATGGTGGGATAACTTAAACCATTTGAGTCCATTTGTTGACCACAAGAAAATACATAGAATGTGAATGTTTAAATGATTTGAAAATTTTTCTACCTAGTAAGAATAGTTTGGTTTGGTTTTAAATTGGACTCCCTTGTATGATACATAGCTAATTTACAACCAGAATTTGTTTTGAGAAAAGAAAAAAAAAGGAAAACTCAACTAACTTACAGTTTTATATTATTTATCCAATATATATGCACTGATGTTTATAAAAGACATTTAAGAGAGGTTATTGTGAAATTATGCCATAAGTAAAACTTAATTTAGCCTGTCCAAATACCTGGCTATGACAAGATTGAAGAAATAACCAGAACTCATTTTTTACATTTTGACAAACACTTTCAGAACACTTTGCTAATTGCCAAGTGTTTTTTATATCATTGAATTTTTATCATACATCAGAAAATTGAGCAGAAGACCCTACTTAGCTGCTTTGAAACAGCACTAAGATTAAGTGGGCAGAGCTCAGGATACAGCTCAGTGGTACCATGATTGCCTTGCAGGCATGATGTCATGGGTTGTTGAGTTCCTAATCCTAAAGATAATTGTAACAACAGTAATAACAGACAGAGCAGGTTCAGAGGAGAGTAAGTGGCTCCCTCAGTCTTCACACAGGATGATTAATCTCAAGAATCCTTGTATAACCAATGCTCTGGATGCTCAAGTCTATGGAAGATGATACTGTATTTGCATATAACTTACGCACATCTTTCTCCACACTTTGCCTCACCTCCAGGGTGGTTGTAGCACTGAACACAGTGTAAGTGCTAATGTAAATGATTGTTGTACTGTTCTTTATGATAAGGAGAAGTCTGCATGTGCATTACAGATCAAATATTAATATACAGTTGCTTTGAGCCCTTAGATGTTTCACCCACAGATTTGAAAGGCCAGTTCTGTGTACTAATTTTTGTCATTCTCAGTTGATTTTGTGCTTTAACCATCCTAAAATTATTATTTTACTACTTAATAGTAACTTACTTTTGGTAGTAATGATAACTGATTAGCTATTCAGCAAAATCTGTTTACAACCATAGTGAAAAAGATGGTTAGTCATAAGGCGAGAGTGAGTTCTACTTTAAAGAGATGAGAAAACCTTTGACACTACCATCGCTGGGCCTAGAGCATCTTGTTGTAGGGGTCTGGCCTGTGTTAGATGTTGAGTAGCATTAGCACCCCTTTGTTAAGACAACCAAAAAAAGAAAAAACTGGAAGAGTGAGGAGGGGTGTTTCTTTCTCTGTGTAGCTCTGGCTATTCTAGAACTCAATCTGTAGACCAGGCTAGCCTCAGAACTCAGAAATCTACCTTCCTCTGTCTCCCAAGTGCTGGGATTAAAGTGTGTACCACATGGCCAGCAACAACCAGAATTTTAATGGGTGATACCAAGGGTTCCATGACAGGCTCACTGTTCTATAATCAGGGCTTATTTAGAGGTGGAAGCGGGAGGGAGCAGCAGTGAGGAAATATACAGTGACTAGATTGATGTCCCGGAATAGGCATATATTAAGATTTTGAGGTTATGGAATAGATATATATTGATATTGTGTTTTGATTCATGTTCTTTTTAAAACTCGGCACAGGTGTGTCAAATTTGAGCTCTTCAGACAGCTTTATTCTTAAGTGCTACATAATGGATAATTTTTTCTTATAAAAATTTTATAAACCTAGTTTCTTGCTAACTCAGAACAGTTGATTTATCACTGGGGATATGACTGTGTAGCAAGTATTTATTGAAAATTAAAAATAAATTATTTTAATATTGAAAAAAAACAGAAAACAAAACAAAACAAAAAAAGACTCCAACGATGTTATATTTGGCAATGACACACTGGATTAGATGTTATAACTTGCTAACCTTTCTCCTTAAACATTTTTAAGAAAACAGATTATGATGAAAAATTAATTTCATAATATTTGAAAGCAAGGAAATAATCATTATATAAACAAGTAGAATAAAATATTTATGTACTTATTATTATTCTAAGCATATGTATATGTCTACATATATATATATGTATGCATTAACAGACAGAAATAAACATTAAATAAGATGTAATAAATGTTGACAGATTGTATTAAATAATCAAATTTATGTGGATTTATTTTCTGCACTTTCTGTGTTTGCCAACTTCTTGAAGATGTATCTGTAAGAGTGTATAATAAAATTAAAACAAAAAATATCCCCTAATTTGACTCAATAATGAAAATTATAAACTCATAATTTTTTATATATATCAGCAGAAACATTTACTACTCTCTAGTAAGTCTCCAAAATTATTTTCAGTGTTGCTTTGCTTCTTTGTGAAGTAGACAGCAATTTAGTATATTTACATCACTAGCTGATGAAAGTCAGAAAACTCATTGTTGTTAAATAAACCATGGTAGATTTTTTTTTTTGAGTACTGACTTTTTTTTATAATCTAGGGATATCCCAGGATGACCTTGAACTCAAGATCCTTCTGCCTCAGCTTCCTGGATATTGAGATTATTGGCATGATCCTTATCTACTGAAAACAGAAGTTTCTATGGTGACGCTGATAAATGCCATAATATATGGGCATATGATAAGTAGTGGTTAAGGGTTGGTTTGACTGTATGTCCATTTAGCAGAATAGTAGTCTGTTCTCCCACAGGGTCCATGATAAGTGTAGCCATTGTTTTATGATGTAAAAATGGTGCCAGGTATGAATTTGATTTTGTGGACAGGGCCTTACATCTTACATCCAACTAGAAAGTGGTTGTTACTCCCATGACATTCACGGGCATGTTTTGTCAGGCCAGTTGTTACTCTAGCTCATAGGATCTATGCCTGTGTAAAATTAATAACTTTTTCTTCTCTAATAGTATGCTTACTTTAAGTACTATCCACACATTAACTCTATTCTTAAGATAATTTGAGACTATATATGATATTTTAAAAAAGATGCGTGTGTGTGTGTGTGTGTGTTGCATGTGCCCATGAAGGTAAAAGAGGACACTGGTTTCCGCCCCCCCCCCCCCCCCGAGCTGGAATTATAGGCAGTTGTGAGCTGCTCAATGTGGGTACCTGGGAAAAAAAATCTCAGGTCTTCTGCAAGTGGTCTTAACTATTGATTCATCTCTACAGTATGGCTTTATTTTGGGAGAAAAAAATAGAAACCCAGAAGGGTGAAACATCCTTTTAGTGTTTCTTGTTAACATATGTTAATTATACATAAAATAGTTTTCTGTGAAATAACTTTCATTCACTTGATATAATTGTCATACCTGAGGCTTACCGCCTCCATCTGCTATCCTAGGCCTAGGCTTGGAAGCTTCTAGGCTCCATATAATTTTATCTAGGTCTAGAATGTTTTCAGCCTCTAAGACTTACTGATAAATAACACCACTTCCTAGTTCTTTCTGAGCTCTGGTTAGCTAACTAAACTCTACTGTTCTGGCTCAAACTCCTTTCCAGGCTGAAGGATTCAGTCTGACTTCTCTCTCTGCCTCTGACTTTTTGCTTTGATTGGCCTCAAACTAACTCTGGTAGTCTCTTCTATTCTTCTGGCTCCTTCTCATTCTGTCTTGTTCTGTCTTTACCTGTGTCTATCTTGTTCTCTTTTCAACCTGTCTCTTTAAAATTCTCCTGGTATAATTACATCCTCCTCTCTCTCTGACACTTATTCTCAGACACTTGTTCTGAATACTGTGACCAATCATGTATCTCTGCAGTTACCACTGGCTACTACAAAAGGAGCTTCTTTACTTAAACCTATCAGTACCACATAAACACGGTTATGTAGAAAATTTACCAAGTACATCATGTTCATGTAGTAAAACAGTAACAGTAAATCCCCCATTAAAGCCTTTGACATATCCATCCAGAGAATTGTGCTTAACTATTCTGCACAAGTTCCCAAAATTAATAACTGTTATAACCAAAATGAAACCAGGAACTTTATCTTAGGACCAATGTTCTTATCCAGTTCTTAACTAAAGTGTTCTGTCTGTACCCACCAGACATCCACTGTGTTCCTTTGTACTTTGGTTTATGCATTACTACCAAGGAAGAAAGTTCTGGACTTAAATTCCACTTCAAATACAATGACATGCAAAAGATCTATTGTGTAACAGTTCTGTATCCTACAGTGAAAACAGTGGTCTTTCCTCTTGACTGTTTCTATGCAATCAGATTTAAGTTGTATTGCATCCAAAGATAGTAAATATATGAGGTAATGCATATATTAAATAACTCAATTTAGCCATCTGTTCTCTTTCCTCTCTCTCTTTCTCCCCCACACCTGTGTGTGTTTGTATCTCAAAGAATGTGCTGACTATGGTATACATGTATGCTGTTATATATCATTTTTATTTGTCAACTCAAATAACTTCTAAATATCCAGTTTAAGAATTTATATATTATAAATTATATATAATATGTCTATGGAAAGGGAACCTATCCTCACAGCTTGAAATTCTCTATGAATAAATTGCAATAGTCATACTGTTTTGTGTTAAAGAAAGAATGTGCTTGAATTATACATAAGGCACAAACAAGAAAAATGTGTCTTGGCACATTAAGTGACTTCTCTGAGTGCACACAGTTAATGAGTGTTACAGTCTCAGTTCAAGTTCAGGTTCATTGATGCAAAATATCATGTGTCACTAAATGTCAGGGAGCCTAGAGTCACTCTGGTTGGCAATGCTCAGGAATGCTTCCTTAGAGGAGGAATTCTTTTCAGTTTTAGTTTTTAGCTTGACTTAGTCAAGTTGTTTTAGACTTAAAGGACAAGCTTGATGGTTAGTTAGACAGTACAGCATACCACAATTAGTATTTAACCATAACATTTAAAAATATCAGAATTATTTTTAATCTTGTGGCATGTTCAACAAGAGAAGAATCCGTAAGTTATTTTCATATAGAGAATTCTTAAGCTACTATTATTATAATTATCTGATTTTATTTTTTTACAGCCAGAGAGAGTATATGGTATTTACTGCTAAGAATTGAAGTTTATTTCTTCTTGGTCTTTGGTTAATATCACCTGTAGAATTTGAAG